ACTTCATATTCTACCTTACTGCAAAAAAGTATTTACGGACAGACATCGTTGAGAGATTTATTTGATTTCCTCTATAAGTACTTATGGCTTTTTATGTTGCATACACAAATACACTGCAATAAAAACTATCTATTGATATTTTTCACGGTTTTACTAAAGCTTCTTTTAAAACAACCAACTTTTATATATAGAAGGAATTTCTCACACACACTGAAAAATAGAAATTCCCTGGTCAAGAGATGGCAGAGAAGAGTGTTTCTGAAATTTTATATCCCAATCAATGTCTCTGTCAGTAGAGCCATGTGCAGAGATGTCTTCTCTCACTAGGATGATATGCAAAGGGCTGCAGGTAAGTGGAAGGAAGCAGATTTCTAGACAATAGGAAAAAAGAAAAAAAACAAAAACAAAACAAAGAGCTAACAGAGTCGTGACATCTGTCATCCTGTTGTGTACCTGTAGGCCATCAATGTTTCCAAGCAAGCTGTTCACAACAGATGGAACGTGGCCTTTTGGTTCAAGTATGAAACCACAAAATGATGACTACATATGTCACAGAGAGGTGTGATTTACGGGAGCACTGAGGGTAATAAAAGACCCCATATTACTAATGATGCAACAACAGAAACTTTGGAATGACAAAAGACTAACCTATTATCAGCTAAATTTAAATAAGAATGATACAATTTATTACCGGCTTTCTCAAATTTCAGAAATAACAAAAATAATGTTTCATAGATGAAAGCTCCTTCATTTTAACTAAATATTTTGAAAAATTAAAAAAGAAAAAAAAGAAAGAAATAAAGCTATCATGTACATATAGGAGCATTATCTGAAATAACTAAATTCAAAAACCTCCAGCAAAATGCTTCCCACCGAGGTCATTCAATCCCTGTGACCCCTAATAATACTAATAATGGGTGAGACAAACATTTTTCTGTGGATTAGAAACTGGCTAAACAGGCAGAAAATTAACAGCAGGGATGTACAACCAATTTCAGTAATTCAAAAGGTTAACAAAAAATGCCTGGTACCTGTTGTTAGGTGTGTTTAGTTTATTTATAAAAAGAGAATAAATAGCACCAACACTTGACACATCATGAAATAATTTAGAATAGTCAGCAATGAAGAAGTGTTTGCATAACTTAAAATAGCTCAGTTAGGGGACAGCCTCCTCATGCATAAAAGTCAATACTGATTTAGGAAGAATAAGACACATTGCAGAAACTTTCTAAGCTACATACATTACCAGATCCTGAACAAGTTGTAGATCCTCAAGTGAAAGACCTGAATGCAATTTGTGCACAGACAAAAGAAAACCCATGAAAATACGGTTATGTTCCTGTATAAACTTATGGAATCATTAAATGTGAACTACGTTATTTATTATGCTCATCAGAATCCTCAAAAGAAATTACATATCAAGAAATTTCTGTTTGAAAGAGGACACAGTGAAGGGAAGATAAGGCAGATGTACATGAATGTGTGCACAGAAATGACGTGACAGGGTTTCCTAGGTATGAACATTTTCATACGTAACTATTCCAATTTTTGTTTTGTTAGCTATCATTTATGACATCAACCGAGTTCTAGCAATACCCAATATTCTTTTGCAGCACTGTGACACAGTAGCAATGTGTGGTTTTGAATTATATATTACAGAAACAGGTACATAATCAGACATTTTAACTCTTTCTCCTCAATGACTTTTACAGGAAAAGCAATGCATACATTGTATGACAGTTTCACTCATTAAAAAATGTTAATTTATTACCACAAAGGTACTGGCATTTCAAAAGCATCATTGCAAATGAAAGACCAATGCTGTAACTGACTGAATTTCATTAGCAATGAATTGTGTCAATCTTTCAATTAAATTAATGATAAAACGGAGTGTTTCAGGAAACATTTGGTAGTGTTGCCAGCAAAACACAAGGAAATCCTCCAAGGAAGGATTTGCATTTTTGACGAGAATGCCTGGAGGATATAGCGTATTTATGAATTAGGCTCAATCTCCAACAACTGAGAAAATAATTTCATCACTCAGCTTCATTTTTCAGTTCTGCTGCATGAATGAAAAGCAAAGAAGATTATGAGGTTAAGATCAAGCACCAAGCAAGATGTACATTATTGCCTTTTTTCATCTCCACAGAATAAAGCTGATTGACATTTTTCCTTCCCAGTGTCAAAATTCTTTAGTAGTCTGGCAAACTCTGATGCTCCACTTCCCAGGAAGAGGTGAATCTTGCTACGATTTGGTGCCCCACTATGACAGCTGAGAATCGTTCATGGTTACATGTGTACCAGCAAATAGACCGGCGAGGAACTGTTTCCTGGTCCTGTCATTGAACAGGATGGCATGGGATGGTCTGCGTCCACATGGCTCAATTTCCCCCCTGCCTCAAAACAGGATGTTTGCATCCAAGCTAACTACTGGAAATGGTCCTGGGCCTCTGCCAAGCCCAGAACCATGCCAGAGTGTTGCCTGGGAGTTGCTGGCCGCTTTGGGTGAAAAAGTCTCTTAAATACTAGTTAAAAAATATCACTGCATAGCTGGTCCAGTACTCAAATCCATGCAGAAGTCCCACTTAGTTATAAATACGAGTGTAACCTGTGTGGCCCTTCTCTACTAATCAGACTTAGCTAAAGACATCAACCTAAGACTAAGCTTGTGTTAAGGGGTCTCCTGAAGAAACCATTAACAGAAGCCTCCCTGATAATCAACGGGAAAATAGGAGATGGATTCCAAAACTGGATTTATCCTGGGGTAAACTGGCAATTCCCAATTCATTTTCCGTTTAATTAAATAAGAAAGAATTGTTTCACAGAAGTTTAATAAGAAAACCCCACAGTACCCTTTCACCTGCGGAGCACAAGTGCCCAAGAAACGAGCAGCATTCAAAACTGACAGCTGAAGAGCAACCAAGAAGGAGCGATAAAGAGATAGCACTTTCTCCTTTTCATGCATGCTAGCTCAAGTTCATCATGTTCTCTCATCATTGTATAAGAAAGAGAGACAATCTAGTCTCTATTTGGATAGATTATGAAAGGGATTTAAACTGGGTAACAAAAATCAAACATACACTCCAAATATAAACGTTCACAGAATTATTTGTACAATAAATACAACACATTAACCTCTGGCTCAGAATAATAAACTGTAAGCAATCAAAGGCTTTTAAAGCAGAGAATTTAAGACCAAAACCAAAACTTATGTAGTAGAAGAGTATCACATAAGAACTACACAAAAATAAAATCAAATGATCTAGCTACTAAAATACACACATGTGCTCAAAATCTTGTGGGAATCAAATATTCCAGTAAAAATAAAGGGAGAGATGGAAACACAAGTTTCTTATTATCACACTTCGTATGTTATAAAACCTAACAGTTAACTTATTTTTGGCAAAGGGACAGAGGTTGCACAACACGCTGGCTTACACAAATATTTTCTATTGTTAAATGCATCTTAAATGTAGCTTGTCATAGATTAACTTCATGCACACAGTGCACCATGCAGTCTGAGATTGTCCCAAAGATACCTATTTTTCAAAACACTGATGAATAGCAAGCTGCCAGCATCCAGTGAGCCAGGTGTGAAAAAAATCACTCAACAATTTATAGTTGAATTGAAACCAGATAAAACCATTTGTGTAATAAAGACTGTACAGATGTTGACCAAAGAAAAGTTGGTATTTTTGGACAAATTACTGTGTATACTTTCTAAAGCACACCCTCTTGAAAAGATAAAATAGTAATAAAAGTTCTCTCAAAAAAATGCCCTTGTTTATAATCATAAAGTGAAATATGCCTGTGAAAATGTATTGGGTTAACCTCAAGTTTCACGGTTTTAGTTGCCGTTTCCTTTAAAGGAAAAAAAAGTTAGACATGCAACAGAAATGGTTATGAAGAAGTGGAAGGACCTACTCATGCATATATTAAACAGAGACTTTACAATAACATTGCACTTCCTTCCACTGAAGATTTTATAATGTAAAGGAAGAGGCAATGACTTAGCAAGAATGAATGTTTAAGAATAAAAATTCAGTATTCTTCATTCATCATCAGCTAGCAGAGTGAGTTCTTACTGAACACTAACAGTCAGCCATTTCCAGAGGTGCAAGGACAATGTCCTGCATCAGCCTCCTTACTGGTTCAGAGTGACAAAAAAACCCCAATGTTTAGATACACAAGAACATGCAGTAACACTTCTCACACTTACCAGATTACACAAACCAAGACTGAGTTGTAGAAGCAATCATATATGCACACATATAAAATTTTAAAAATTATATACTTCATACTAGTACTCATCACAATTTGTATGACTATTCTTTCCATACATTTCCCCATATATAGTCAGCAATCTGCTTGCCTTGAGATAAGAAGCTGGTATTAAAATTCCAGTCTTAATTTTTGGTGTAGTAACATAATGTAATTGCCAAGTGTTTAGTGATCGGTTTATAAACTATGTAACGAGAATGCAACAAGAATGTCCTAAATATTTATCACCATTATTATTTATAATAAAACAGCATTTCAAAAGTAAAAAAGTGGAAGAAAGTAGATTTAGATTAGATATCAGGAAAAAATTCTTCCTTGTGAGGATGGTGAGACACTGGCACACCAGAGAAGCTGTGGCTGCCCCATCCCTGGCAGTGTTCAAGGCTGGGTTGGATAGGACTTCAAGCAACCTGGTCTAGTGGAAGGCGTCCCTGTCCGTGACAGAGGGTTGGAACTAGATGATTTTTGAGGTTTTTTCCAACCCAAACCATTCTATGATTCTGTAACTTAAAGGTCCAAATTCAGAGTCAGAACTTCATTTTACACCCAGCTACATTATTATATGTTATCTGGATTAGTCATTAATGGTTTTATTTCATTTTAATTGAAAGTTTGTGTACAGCAGAATAGAGCTTCCACAGGAAAGACACAGCATTACCCAGAGGCTAAGCACGTGCACGTGCTAATAATGTAATTCCCATTCTATAAGATTAACGTACCTGAAGTTCTGATGCTCGCTTCATCATCTCCAGTGTGATGTAGCAACCAATAGAATGAGCAATCAGTACCAGCTTTATATCTTTTGAAACATTCTTTTTGAGGAAGTTCAGCTTATGCTCTACTTGTCCATTAAGTCCAAAAACATCCTCTAGCTCCTTAATATCTGTGTCTGAAACACAGAAGAGAAAAAGTCCTTTGTTTTAATGACAGAAATTCAGAAGTTTCAACTATCTTTCCTTCCCCCCCCCCCCAGTTTTTTTTTTAAACTCTGAAATAAACAAACATATTAATTAAAAAAATAAACCAACCCACTGATACTAAAAATTTCATTTTAATTACCACTGGTAAATACAGACTGATGAATCACACATACAGGATGTGAAGGCTTATGTGTAACTGGGGAGCCCGGGAAGGATACAGATACACATGGAGCTTCACTGCATATCATCTAGCATTGGATCCCTTCACTCAGAACAAGACCAAACTCAAGCACTGGATCAGCTTAAATCAATCCAACTTTACACTGTGAGATCAGAACCTATAACAGCAAAACTGCCCAGGAATAAGAGTCCCTTCACTCAAGACAAACTATCACATAGGTTATCATGCACTAAGAACCTTCAGATATTCAAAATCTCCTGTTTTAAAATAAAGACACACAAAAAAGTCCCATGGAACAAGAAAAAATATGAAATGTGTAAGTGTCAAAATACAGCACTAGCAATTACATAAACTACTCTTATTTATGCAGGTTCTTATCACTGTCAGTCCAGCCATAAAAGAATAACACTAGGTTAGAGTATCATGGTTCTAGGTAATTGTGCAATTTGAAGAGCAGCTAACAGAAGTGGTGCCCTAACAAGCCCACCCAGTAATAAATGTTTAACTTCCCATTTCAGTTCCCTATGTGGAAAAGAGATGTGGAAGAAAGTATCCATAAGGCAGACATACTGAAAAGATGCATACATTAAAAAGATGGAAATGCACTGAAAAACTACTATGACTGTGAACACAGTTTATCAAATTATGAAGGCTGATTGGTCTTTTAATCCACATGTAAGAAGTTTGATGGCAGTTGGCCAGTAACCTCAAATACTAAAAAGTAATAATACTAAAAAGTAATAATACTACTATAGAGAAGTTATTGGGAGGCTGATAGTGATAGTATTAACTGGTAGCCTAAGTGGGCTGGCACTATATTGCTTTTTTGATCATCTGCATGATGTTCAAGAATGTGTCCTGATAGCTTTTTATTGAGCTTAGACTATTAACACAAAGGTCACAGAAAAGAAGTTCTTCAATTAAACTAATATTTCTACTAAAACTACTAATGGTCATATCCCAGCGTAATTTAGAGTAGTTTACTCTAAATGAAAAAGAGGTTCACTAAAACATACTCAAGGAATGCAAAATTAGATGAGAAGTAATATTTTGCTTATTATGCTTTCTACAAGTAACAGAAAATAAAGAGCTTGTTCTGTTTTCTGAAACTCTAAATAAAAACCTAAGGCCAAAACATGGTTTTTAAATTTAGTTTCTATTTTTAGCAAAAGCTGTCTTTCCTTTTCATTTAATTACACAGGAGCTCAAACTCATGCAGGAGTGGGCTGTCTACACTGCCAGTCTAGTTAAGGGTAAATATGACATGCATGAAATGCAGAATACGAGAAATACAATGGCCTACAGGATGCAGCAACAAGTGAAAGAGTATGTTACATTGAGTATATTTACATTACTGTGTGTTGGGTTGAGCAGGTCAGTTTTCCCTTGTAAATATTTACTACCATTTCTGTATTGTTTTACTCAAGCACTGCCATCTCCAGTGATTTATCAGCATGTCTTTTAACATTTGTCATTCCATTCACAGCTTCAATTCTTGAAAATAAATGATTTTACAATAATTTCAGCTTATTTCCAGGTTACAGCAAAGGAAAGGAGACAAAGTAGGTCTATAAATCTTCTAGAGAACTTCTCATAATTTGCAAGACCCCAGAAACCAAGCAGGAAACAAAACAAACCTGTATTTGTATTGTTCAGTCTCAGGAGGCTAAGGACTGCTTTTCACTACATGAAATCAATTTCTGCTACATGAGATGCTGAACTTTGCTGCAATGCAATTAAACAATACAGCAAAGACAGTCTAGACCAATCTCAACATTTTTCAAGTTAGTGTGGATAACTGTGTTAGATAAATACAGTTCATTAGTTGTTAAGATGGTAGATATCTAATTTAATGTTTAGTTACTTAATAAATAGCAGCATAGAGATTCAGGGCAACACACTCATAGCTATTACTGGTTTTAGCAGAGATGTGCCTATTCACAATCAGTTTTGTTGCCAAAGCGAGAACCCCAAGAAGGATACGGGTGTGGGTTAAGAGTAGAGTGAAAATAAGACCTACTTCCCCCTTGCATTTGCCAAGACTTGAGTTTAGGACTTGAGTGCACTCAACTCAAACCTGTCACTGGTGTTTCCTTAGGGGAGCAGGGGAGAGTTGAGTTTGCAGAAGCGATTTTTATTTGGATGGCTTAGCTATGATTGATGATGATCACAGAGACCCATTCTACTGCACTGGGCCAAAGCATCCTCAGCCTTGCTCAGCACCACTCAGAGCAAGAATGCTCAGATTCCCACATCTACTGGCCTATGTTACATTCACATACAATCTCTCTCAGGCTGAAAGTGAGACCTGACAGCCAGTACTGACCCCAGAGAATTGTTTCAGCTGCTCAATACAACTTTTCTTTTTCTTCTAAAATACTGGTTTGTTGCCAAGCCAAATCAAGCTGGCATTACTCCTAGAGAAGCCACACTGGATGATGAGCGTGCAGTATGGGGTCTGGCAATCCACATGCAAAATTCTGCTCATCACCAACTGACCCTGCACTCATCAGGTGAAACTCCAGCATCACGTAACCTGATGCTGAAATATGCATCCTATTTTCCTTCTGGACAAATATAAAATTGCCCATGCCTAGTGTCAGTTCATGTTACCTCAACACAAATGCTACACTTGTAAGAGTCCAAACTATGTGAGAGCTGGGCTGCATCACAGGTTTGGAAGATTTATTTATTTATTTTACAGAATAAAATCACAACGGGATTATCCAAAATCAACATGAATTTCTTGGGTGGAGAAGCTTAAATGGGATCTTTGTATAAGCAAACAGACTTGCACAAACACACTGGCCGTTAGCTCTCCAATGGCTCTACATCAGAGAAGGGACCAGAGTTACTTCACCTGAAGGTGTGGAATAAATGGCATGGCTGAAGGAGAACTCATTTAAGCAGTTTTCAGATAGCAGAAATTATATGACTTGTACCTTATGCTGTAAACACCCCATCCGGGCCAAGGCATGTGATTTCAAGACTTTATTTAGCTGAAGTGTATTAAAAGAAACACTGTATTTCTTTATTTTCTTTGGCAAAGCATTAATCTTCTGATGTGCTTTCAGAAAAACAAATGCGCCATCACTTTAATGATTCTCTTTTTCTGACCTTTGCTAAACCCACAGTCAGAAAACAATGATAGATTAAAATAAAGTGTTTGCTCTAAGATTAGTAGACAAGTTAATCTTGCTAGGAAAGAGGAATTTGGTTTTCAGGGAAATAACAGAGAATTGGGTTTGTTTGTTTTTCTGCTGTGTATGCATTGGAAATTCTGAGGCAGACCAAAAAAAGTTTATCAGTTCTATGAGCATGCCTTAGACTGGAGATTCATAAAATTTAGCCTTTCATTAAAAAGTCTCAAAAAAAAAAAATAATTAAATCATAGACTCCTTTTTAATGGATGATTCAAAAAGACAGTGGAGGCCAGATTTTCCAACACTACCCTCAAATTTGTGCATATAATCTCTGCATGCCTTTGTACTTCCCCAGTTTCACAAGGGAATGTTTGCACATCCAAACTCCCAACACCACAACAGATGACCAAATATTTGAGCTCCATACATATGGACACCTGTTATGACATGACTTTAAAGTCTGTTCCAGGATCTGCTCATACACAAGGCCTCCAAACTACTCATGAACAAGTAAGGAACTGTGTGAAAAGGTGACTTGTACTTATATGCCATGAAGGAAAGGGAGGTAAAAACCACTGTCCTACCCACACTGTATCTTCTTCTTCTCTGGGTCATTTACTCCAGGAGGTAATCCCAGGATATCTAAAGACAAACTCTAATGAACCACCTGTATAAACTCTTGTGGTCAACAATTTTCAGAACTGGACATTTTACAGCATAAGGACAAGTATCTTGAGACTGAGGGCACTGGAAAAAGATTTGCCTCTTCCTCTGAAGACACTGCTCATTTCAGCTGTGTGACGTCACCATACTGCTTAATGTTAACAGTGAGCAGAAATAACAATTTTAAACACATGAAAATGCAGTGGCATTGCAAGAAAGTATCAAGAGGGAGAAAAACAATAAGCAAAAAGATGCTGAAAGGTCAGTGATGATATCAAAGCATACGAAAATGAAAGGCACAAAGCATCAAGTACAGCCAACCAAAAAGTTCAGGAGAGCTAGCTCAGGGTCAGGTTAAGTCCACTGCACCTCCATCAAACACCCTAAGTGCAACCATCATATAGCACCAAGTGGTTTAGACTTTATGCCCCCCTCTTTTCATCACAAAACCATACAAACACTGGTGGGAAGAGCAGCAGTTGTGGCTAAAGATCTACTGCTTAGACGGAGCAACCCATGGAAAGTTTTATCTTGCCTTTGTGTAATGACAGGCAGAAAGCAACCCCACAGCTAAAGCATCTGGAAGGATTACCTGTTAAACTGCCATACATAGTCAGAAGTCTAGTTCCGGAAATTAAATAAATCATTTGATTGGTTCTGTTCTTATAGAAAAACATAATAATTCCTTACAATTGAATGAAGCCATCTGAAAATGCTTAAATGCAACTGCAAGCTTAAAACCTGAGATTTCAGGTTTGCAAGTCTAGTATGGGCAAATGTGTTAGAAAATACAGTCCCTAAAGATATACTGCTTAAAGCCCGAATTCTTCACCCAACCTTTCATCTGATTATTGAACCCTGGATAATTTGTATCTGCAAGCAATAAAATACCAAAGAAACGCGATGGAAACCGTTAGAGTGTTCCATAAATACTGAAGAACTCCTCCTGACACCAGAAACCAGGTCTTAAAGCGTTGTGTTT